GTCAGAACATAAGAAAAAATAAATAAAAAGCTTAACCGTAAACCTTTGTCTGTCGTTTTTAATGAAACATGCATAAAGGAGGATTGCTGCCTAAATATACACTATATATATATATATATATATATATATATATATATATATATATATATATATATATATACAGAGAAAGAGGAATCTTGAGATAAAGATAGATTATATATATTTATTTATTGTGTGGACATGCAGCGATTTAGAAAATGTAATATTCTGTTTTTCTGTGAATAACTTTCATATTTCTCGTTCAAATTTATCTAAAATTGGATACTTTACTCTTATAATATATGAATTCAATGTCTTTAAATAATTTGGCATTTCCCCTCTGAAATTTGAAATTTACTTAATCAGTAGAATATTCGGTGTTCGGCATATTATCGCCCAGTATCATAAATGGCTCGCGTTAAGGACATATTGGAGCCACCCTTCACAGCTGACAATTTTCCGAACACGGTTAGCACATTGTGACCTAACTCATAAATAATTACAACGGTCACACAACTGCATGCCTATCCAGACGCCTTACCTTACACCTATCTGACTAGAGCTCCATTAGAAATTATTTATTATACTCCATTTAAATACACACACAAACCTACCAGATTCCATTCAAAACATACTAGTAGAAAACTCAAACATAATAACATCATCCATTAGTAAAAAAGATTAAAAATAATGGAAGCCCTAATAATAAAAAAGAAAACGCCAACTCTTAACTATATTAACTACGAACGAGGCCACCATGTGCTAACCGTGTTCGGAAAATAAAAAAACACCTCCTTAACACACTAAACCATACACATAACACACACACTCGTTTAAACTGAAAGATAAAATCATCCTTGATAATGGCTAAAAATTTAGCCGAAAGCGCTCGGAACTATAAAACATTTGAACAGTTTTTACACACTCTGTGTCCAAAAAAGAAATCTCTCGTGCGAAATGAAAGGCTTAATTGGAGTATATTGTCTGTAGTTTTTAATGAAATGCATCTGGCGTCTCGTCTACAGTCACTCTCTCACAGACGCGCCGTCGCCTCTCTCTGTCTTTTTTACAAATACTTTCATGGTAATTGCTCCGATGAGCTGCTTTCACTGGTTCCCAGACTCCATGAATTCAAGCGCCCTACGAGGCTGGCATCCCGCTCCCACCCTTACACTGTAGAAACTTTTAAATGTAGCCGTCTCTTCTACTCCAATAGCTTCATACCTCGCACCTTCCTGCCTGTGAAACACCTTCCCAATTACTGTTTCCCTGAGAGCTATAATCTCCAATTATTCAAATGTAATGTCAATCGACACCTCCAGTTACCTTGATCTACCCACTATCCCTCTCCTCATCCTTTCTTCTATCACTACTATCTGCTCTTGCTCCAAATCTTCTGCAACCCCCTGCATCCTAGTGGCTTCACGCCTTGCTCGGGGCGTAATGCTTAAAAAAAATGTTTTCATGGCAATTGTTCTGATGATCTTTTTCCATGATACCTGGAGATCTTGAATTTAAGTTTACTTCTAGATTGTGCAGTTAGGTCTCACCGTTTTACTATTGAACTAGCTAGATGCAACCGTAAATTCGATTCTAATAGTTTATTTTCTCACACTTCTCGCCTGTGGAGCTCTCTTCTGGTTTCTTGATTTCCTGCCAGCTACGGTCTACAAAATTTTAAATACAGCGTGAATCTTCATCTTATGTCTTCCTAAAACCTGTTCTTTTATTGTCCTTTCACCTCACTGTCGTCATATTATTCTCTTTCCCTCTCAGTAACCCCTTGCGTCTTAGTGGAATTATTGCCTGAATTGCCGACGCGTAATGCTTAATATATATATATATATATATATATATATATATATATATATATTAGTACAAAACAAAGTAATCAACCTTAGCAAATGTCAATAGGTATAAACATTTTATACGTTAACCTGTATATTTTGCTTAGAAAGCAACTAATGAATTCATTGAAACTATCTAATCTAAATTAATCTAGAAGAGTTTTTTTTTTTTTATTAAAAGACTGGAATCGAGATAATTCATTTCACACCTTTTACTTTCCTGGAAATTTCAAGAGGTAAATAAACGGATTATTTAATGAAAACCGACAGAAGACTAGAAAAACTTGTTTAACACTTATTAATAATAGACTTGCGAATTAGCAGCTTTTCTTTAAAAGCCTACATACACGCAAAATCATATGTACAATCAAAAATATATCAAGTTAAATTGAAATTTCTCTGGAACGTTTTTTGACAGAGAAACGGGTTCGGAGTGAACATTTGAAAATTGCTGCCTTATCGAGCCAAGATATCTCAGCCAAAGCTATTGCCTCTTTTATCAACCTTGACAAATCCATTGCGATTAAAAGTTACATTTCGGCTTCTTTTTGCAAGCTTCACACTTCTCGAAATTCCAAAAATATTTTCTCATCTCTTAAGATTAAATTTAATTCAAATTAAATTTTAAGCAAATGTCAAAATTCGAAAATGGTATATTAAAAGTTGTAATTAATAAAATATTAAATCTTATCAGATGTCAAAATGAAAACTTATCTGATGTTAAAATGTCAAAATATGTATGAAAAAACTGTTTAAAAAAACACTTAACTGGTATTTTAAATTAAGTTTCAAATTTTTTTTGTTTGTTTATTTCTTATATATACTTATTTGGATAACCAATTTGGGGATAACTTTAGAATATGACAGGGATGGGCGGATTTCTTTGGGTTCTAAACAAAATAAAACAAAAACCTGCAACATTATCGGCCCTAACCTAGCACCTTGGCTTCAGTCACTTTTCCATCGCTGTAATGTAGCCTCCCTGTAGATTTTCTATGAATATTTTCACGAGAATTGGCGTTCAAAACCAGATAAAAGCTGATTTTGAATGTTCAAACAGGATTTTACTTTTTGTTTCATTTTCCTTGGTTATAATACACTTTGTATATATATATATATATATATATATATATATATATATATATATATTGTTCCTGGCTTGAGGCAATCAGATGTCTAGCCACATTGATGAGCTGTGAAAATATATATATATATATATATATATATATATATATATATATTTGTACCTCAACATCACAAACTTAAGCGTAATACTAGGTTGGCAGCTACTGTTGAAATTGCTGGCTGTAACCGGAGGTTCTATGTTAACAGTTTCTTCTCTCATACTACTCGCTTGTGGAACTCTCTCCCGGCTTCTTACTTTCCAGTCAACAACAATCTTCAAAAGTGTCAATGCAACGTCAATCCTCATCTTCTATCTCCTCAAATTCTGTTTTCTCATTTTTCTATATTTGGTTGATTTAACCAGAAGTCTAGAGGGAAGCATTATTTTCCCGACAGAACCCAGTAAACTCTGCAACATTTCAAACTGGACTCAGGGCAGATCACTTAATACTCTCTAACACTTCGAGTTGATCTTAGGACAGATTCTTGCAAACTCTGTAACACTACGAGTTGTTTTTAGAAAAGATCCCTGTAAAGTGTGCAACCCTCCGAGTTGGTTTAGAACAGATCCCTGTAAAACTCTGTGACACTACGAGTTGGTCTTAGGACAGATCCATAGAAACTCTCTAACCCTTCGCGTTGATTTTAGAACAGGCTCCTATAAACTGTGGAACCCTTCGAGTTTGTCTCAGGTCAGATCCCTGTAAACTGTGGATTACTTTGAGTTGGTCTTAGGACAGATACCTGCAAACTCTCTAACACTTCGAATTGATCACTGGACAGATCCCTGTAAACTGCGCAACCCTACGAGTTGGTCTTATGAAAGATTTCTGTAAACTCTGTGCCACTCTGAGTTGGTTTTAGGGCACATCCCTGGAAACTCTCTAACACTTCGCGGTGGTTTTAGAACAGATCCCTGTAAAATGTAGAACCCTAAGAGTTGGTCTCATGTCAGATTCCTGAAAACAGTGGAACCCTTCAAGTTGGTCTTAGGACAGATCCCTGTAAACTCTCTAACACTTCGAGTTGATCATTGGACAGATCCCTGTAAACTTCACAAACCTCCAACTTGGTCTTAGGAAAGATCTCTGTAAACTCTGTACCACTAAGAGTTGGTTTTAGGACTGGAAACTCTCTAACACTTCGCGGTGGTTTTATAACAGATCCCTGTAAACTCTCTAACACTTCGAGTTGATTATTGGACAGATCCCTGTAAACTGTGCAACCCTACGAGTTGGTCTTAGGACAGATCCCTGTAAACTCTCTAACACTTCGAGTTGATTATTGGACAGATCCCTGTAAACTGTGCAACCCTACGAGTTGGTCTTAGGACAGATCCCTGTAAACTCTCTAACACTTCGAGTTGATTATTGGACAGATCCCTGTAAACTGTGCAACCCTACGAGTTGGTCTTAGGACAGATCCCTTTAAACTCTCTAATACTTCGTGTTGGATTTAAAACAGATCCCTGTGAACTGTGGATCCCTTCGTGTTGGTATTAGGTCAGATCCCTGTAAACTCTCTAAAACCTCTAGTTGATCATTGGAAAGATCCCTGTCAACTGCGCAACCCTCCGACTTGGTCTTAGGAAAGATCTCTCTGTAAACTCTGTACCACTAAGAGTTGGTCTTAAGACAGATCCCTGGAAATTCTCTAACACTTCGAGTTGATCATTGGACAGATCCCTGTAAACTGTGCAACCCCACCAGTTGATCTTAGGAAAAATCTCTGTAAAATCTGTACCACTAAAAGGTGGTTTCAGGTCAGATCCCTGTAAACTGTGTAACCTTTCGAATTGGACTTAGTATAGATCCCTTTGTAACACCTCGAGGTGGTCTTAGAATTTGTACAGATTGAAAATCTTTTATTTATAAAATAAAATTGGTCTGCATCTCAACATTGAAATATTTGAATAAACTCATTTAACAAAATCTCCGAATTATCATGAAATTTTCTTGGAACTTTTATATGTACGTAATATTTTGTAAACTATTATCATTTATGTTCTCAATGCCCCCTCTCTCCTTCTCCCTCTCTCTTCCTTCACATCTCTCTTCCATTGTGTGTATTTGTACGCATGCGTGTGAATGCGTTCTTATACATGTAGTATTGTGTGTAGTTTTCTCTCCGTTCACTTTACTCTTTCTTTTTTTCTTTCTATACTTTGATCTTCATTGTTACGTTCTTTCTCTTCCTCTTTTTCTTTTCTTTCTTTCTTTCTCTTCCTCTTTTTCTCTTCCCATATCTTTCTTTTCCTTTTTCTTTCTCTTCCTCTTTTTCTCTTCTTTCTTTCTCTTCCTCTTTCTTTCTCTTCCTCTTTTTCTCTTCTTTCATTCTCTTCCTCTTCCTCTTTCTTTCTCTTCCTCTTTTTCTTTTTCCTTATCTTTCTCTTCCTCTTTCTTTGTCTTCCTCTTTTTTCGCTTCCTCTTCTTTCTTTCTCTTCCTCTTCTTCTATTCCCTTATCTTTCTCTTCCTTTTTCTTTGTCTTCCTCTTTTTATCTTCTTTCTTTCTCTTCCTCTTCCTCTTTCTTTCTCTTTCTCTTTTTCTCTTCTTTCTTTCTCGTCCATTATCTTTCTCTTCTTTCTTTCTCTTCTTAACTCGCTCTCCCCGTGTTTCTCTCTCTCTCTCTCTCTCTCTCTCTCTCTCTTTCTATCTCTCTCATTTTATCACGATGTCTGCTTTGTTAATTATTCTTTCTTTTACCTCACCACTCACTAAAAGTTGGTCAGTATGCGCATCTCGCAAGCTGTTGTTCTCTAGTTTTACATTTCTTTGGACATATTGCTATCATAGCCATGTGAGAAACGAAAACATAATAAATATGTTTCCAACCCCTTCAATATCTCGAGAACCGGTGTTTTGGTCAGAATATAACACTACTGTTTATGCGTTAACAGTTAATCCCTTGTGGGATTATTTAGTTAGCAGTGAAACGCCATTAAGTGAGCTAGTTTAATCTGATATCGTCGCTTTCTCAATGAATAGAATTGCGACTCTGTTTTCACAAAAACAATTGAAATGTCTGAGAAGACTTACGGTGATAATTCCATGTTTATTTTGGTGCCGATGCTGCAAATTTGGTTGGCAATCCGTTGAAATCAATCAAGAATTTAGAAAGTATTCAAGAAACGGAGCATCTGAAGATATCTGAAAGTTTTCGAGCTGCAATCATTGAAAATCAACGATTGATAGCCGGAGAAATCCGACTATTCCACAAATTTTCTTTAAAGTCTCAAAACATTTTAGATATCACGACTGTCTATTCTTCAGGTCTTGTGCAGTGACTTTTGGTATAACATCTCATAATCCAGGTCTGTAAACACTTCTTATCGAACAGATTTGGTTCACTGTATTTCTTACCTTTGCTATAAGCTTTCCACTGACCTGAGGTGGAACAACTACATTGAATCAATTGCTTCATCTACCGCAAGGAAAGTTAGTTCCCTGTGTCGCGCCTGAAGGTATTTCCTCGCCTGAATCAATCCTTCAAATCTACAAATCAACCATTTGCCCTTGTATCGAATACTGTTGCCATATATGGTCTGGTGCCCCCGCTGTTTATCTCGAGGGCCTAGACAAGATCCAGAGATGTATATGCAATGTGAAAAGTCCTGATCCGGCATCCCGACTCCAGTCGCTTTCTCACAGACATGTCGTCCCTCTAACTTTTCTACAAATATTTTCATGGCAACTGCTCGGACGATCTACTTTCACTGGTGCCCTAATTGCATGAATTTAAGCGTGCTACTAAGTTAGCATTTCGGTCTCATCCTTTCACTGTCGAAACGGTTAAATGTAGCCGTTTCTTCTACTCCAAGAGCTTCTTCTCTCACACTTCTCGACAGTAGAACTCCATTCCTCTTACTTGCTTCTCGGATGGCTATAATATTCAAATCTAATGTCAATCAACATCATCTGATGCCTTGATCTTGATCCCCATCCTTCTCTATAGCCTTTCCTCGAACAACCCTCTTTATTCTTGCTCTCCCTGGAACCACCTCTTAATTGCTGGTGTTCCCAGGTCCACCCTGGCCAGGGGTGGTAGCACCTGTTAGGGTCCCAGCTAAGTGGAAGTAGTTAACTATTACCAGCAATACTTTTTGAAAAAAACTATTACCAGCAATACAATTTTGAAGGAAAAATATTACCAGAAACAGATTTTTGACAAAAAAATATTACCAGAAATAAATAACCCATTGAGCTTGATATGCCGTAAAACAAAATAAACCAAATCAATCTAAACCAAAGAATACATATTCTATTCATATGAATCTATCCTAAAAATGTTGTCGGCATTAAATAACCCGTTGAGGTTGATATGCTGTAAAACAAAATAAACCAAACCAATCTAAACCAAAGAATACATATTCTATTCATACGAATCTATCCTAAAAATGTTGTCGGCATTAAATAACCCATTGAGATTGATATGCCGTAAAACAAAATAAACCAAACCAATCTAAAACAAAGAATACATATTCTATTCATACGAATCTATCCTAAAAATGTTGTCGGCATTAAATAACCCGTTGAGGTTGATATGCTGTAAAACAAAATAAACCAAACCAATCTAAACCAAAGAATACATATTCTATTCATACGAATCTATCCTAAAAATGTTGTCGGCATTAAATAACCAATTGAGGTTGATATGCCGTTAAACAAAATAAACCAAACCAATCTAAACCAAAAAATACATATTCTATTCATACGAATCTATCCTAAAAATGTTGTCGGCATTAAATAACCAATTGAGGTTGATATGCCGTAAAACAAATTAAACCAAACCAAATTATTCTTGCTCTCACTCTCTGTAATCCCTTGCCTGATAGTGACACTCCCGCCTTGCTTGGGGTAAAATGGTTAAAAAAAAACATTAGGAAGAATGCAATATAGCTGATAACAATTCCGAAAAGGGACTTTGCACACTGATTTAAAAAGTCGAAGGAACTCTGGCATATTTGTGTAAGGAAAGCACTTTGAAGAGAACTAAGGCACCATGTCATTGACTATTTCTACTTTTTTCGTTCGTATTAACTGGATTGATATTTTCCAGAAATAACTCGTATATATATATATATATATATATATATATATATATATATATATATATATATATATTCTTTTTTCCATCGCATGTCTATTTCTTTCATTCGTTCTCCTTTTAATTTTTTTCAGCTTATCCCTTTCGTTTACAGTAACATAATCCCTTTGGGCGCCTGTCGTTGCCAAATAGTTCCTTTCAATTTATTACTGTGGTTCTTTTATCAGACGAAGTCAAAGTAAATATTTAGATACCTCACCGTAGAATAAGAGATTTTTACTGAGGTGATTTTGGTTCTCACAAAACGACTCACGTTTATGGCCTTGTGCCTGACTAAACTAATCTTGATAATGCATGACATCTCACTATGTAAACTAAACGTCAGTCAGCTAACCCTTTGCCATACGAAGTTAAATTAAGTAAATGCCTATAAAAGAATACCCGCTTCCTGGCTTTCTCCTCTTCCGTCAAAAGTGCATATTTTCTTTGTTCACTTTTTCACTCCTTTTCGACATTTAGGCATTACACTTTCTTTCTTTCTTTATTTCACTGAAATCCCCTCCAGAACTTTCTCTTGCTCGCGAACATTTACATATTGCTTCTTTTCTCCTTCTTCCCACCTTCTCTTCCTCCATTTTCTTTCTTGGTTGTTTCCGTTCTTCAATTTCCTTTAGACTCGCAGGCTTTTCCATCCTTCAATTGCAAAAGAGTTCCCACAAAACCGAATGATGAATTACTCTTTACACATACCACCCAAAAATATTTTCCGTTTCTCACTTTTGTAATTTTTTTTATGCATACGAACATTTCTCTTTAAAAAAAAGCCCAACTTTCTCTGTTCTTTACTTATATTCTTTTACTACCACAGCCCTTTCTTCTCCTCCCCTACCGTTTCCTATTCGCCTCGATTTCCCAACTCCTCCCTTTCGATCGATCAATCGATTTTCAGCGATTCTTTTTCTTTTACTTAAAATCTAACGCTTATTCACTCGGCTGGAAAAAAAATGGCCGCACCATGGAAACTGAACGAACGACCATCTTTGCAGAGTACAAATCTACAAGGCTGAAAATTTTTAATGTGTGTTATTCTGTCTATATAGTATCTTTCTATTTCTCTCTCTATATTCACTTTCTATCCTTCTCGCGACGAACACACACACAAGCACTATATATATATATATATATATATATATATATATATATATATATATGATAAAGATGTTTGTAAATCACAAAAAAATCCAGCTGCTCCTGAAGTCTTCGTCAGTGGTTGATATTGAATAGTCTGACAAAGGCTACAGAAGCGACTGAAAATGTTTGTGGTTTCACCAAAAACTTTTTCATGTCAATTAAATAAAAAACATTGAAAAATATACAAAGAATACTTTCGTCGTCACTTTTTATATAATATATTATGGGGCATACTTAAAAATATACTATCGGCCACTATATATATATATATATATATGTGTGTGTGTGTGTGTATATATATATATATATATATATATATATATATAGAGAGAGAGAGAGAGGGCCGATGAGTAAATTGTCGCCATTTTGATATATATAAAACGGCGCAAATTCAGATGAGGGTCTTCCGAATTCTAACGCGTTGATATCCCTTCCATACCCGGCTAATGCCACTCACGGGGAGACGCTGAGCGAACATGCAACATGCGTTTCTGTCAGTCCTACTACTGACCTTTAGAATTCAAACTGCCAGGGTTAATAAAACGAAAGCCAAAATTAAATGACTCTTTTCGTTGATACCATTTTTATTAATAGTGTGGGGATCCCAAGACGGTACAGAACTCAACAGCTCTAATGCTTGCCATTCGTGCCGGAAGCCCCAATACGAACATTTCAGAGTGTTTGGGTGTCAATTTGAGGACAATGAAGAGGATTCGGAAAGAGTTGGATGAGTGTAATGGTGATTACGAAGATGTTTGGAGTGATCACTAGTGATGATGACATTATGTCTCCATTCATCTTTCCACGTGGCCTCAGACTCAACACAGAGGCCTACATCAAGTGTCTTGCAGAGATACTGCTGCCCTGGATCAAGAGGGTTGCTGATGGAAGCCACTATGTCTGGCAACAGAATTCCACACCATACCACCCAAACAATTTCTGTGAAACAGCCTCTTGAGTATTATGTGTGAGACGCATTTGAACGAGAGAACGACAAATTCCTTGTGGGACCAAAGATGAACGGAGATCGTCCAGAAGAGTTGCAGGAGATTCCGAAGTCGTCTGAGAACGACGTTGAATCCAATGGCGATTTTATTGAATAAATGTACTCTTTAGTAATTCAAAATATTTTTGTGTAAATTTAGTAAATATATCAGTTAAAATGAGATGTCAGTGTTATTTTCATTTTGAACGTAATTTAGACAACAATTTATAGACACGCCATATATATATATATATATATATATGTATATGTATATATATATATATATATATATATATATGTGTGTGTGTGTATATATATATATATATATATATATATATATATATATATATATATATATATATAGGAATAATATGAATCAAATGTTATATTCAGTACCTCGTTTCGCAATCGTTCCGTCAATCGCTTCAGCAATTGTATACAAATTTTCTATTTTTCCTTATTTTTATATTAAGTAAAAAATTAATTTATGCTGGTTAT